GCACGCACGCACGCACGCACGCAGTACGCACGCACGCACGCGCGCGCGCGCACAGACACGCACACGCACTCACACGCGCACAAGCACACACCATGTCGATTCCCCACTGCTGGAGAACGCAGCGAAAAGACTGAACTGCATCTTCGTCGCTCCACTCGCTGCATCCAATACATAGCTGGCAGCCTCCAGCGATCACTGGCAAAGGTATAAGCGATCTGCTGGTCCCAGGCCTTCGTCAGAACAACAACATGCGTCTTTCTGAGCGAAGTAACAATGGCTGGCAAACATCAGGTGCAATGCGGACAGTCTATTGTAGCTCTGCAATCTAAGGTAGGTTTCGGCTGGAATATAATCATCAACAGCCCCCCTGGAAGCCCACCTTGTTGAACTGGAATCCTCCCAGGTCATGGTTGCCGAAGACACTCAACCAGGGCTTTCCATCCAGGCCGGGTCCCTTGTAGATGTCCTCGAAAATCACCTTGAATTGGGCCTGGGTTTGTGGATGGATCTGGCTCATTGGATGGCCACATTCTGTCTCGATGCCCCCCCAATAGAAATTGTCGCCAACATTTAATACGAAGTCGGGATTGCTTTCAGGCGCTCGCTTCTTCATTTGCGTCGCGACCAGCGTCTGCGCATGCAGATCAATTTCAGCACTGAAGTGGCATTGTGTTGGGCACATGGCAGTAGCACCGAAACAGCCGGTCATCTCTTTGGTGCTGCATCCTGGACCTCGGTGTCTCGCCATGGTGTGTGCGCCTGGTGTGTGGCCACCATTGTACTGGATGATGGCTTTCGGCGCACCTGAGCCAGCGCCTAGCAGGGAACCCCAGTCTCCCAGAGCGAAAATGTGCTTCGTATCGGTTCCAGCAATCCTCATGGTTTCCCACGATGCGCCATTGTGAGTCTTCACACCTGTGGGCGGGTCGAGCCCGCCACGCCGCGCAAGCCTTGTGCTCCCGGGCATCGGCTGCGGATGGTATGTCGGCATGCTTGGCACAGGTGCAGTGGGCTGCGGCCGGACGTATGGTGCTGGGATCGGAGCGTAATATGGGACCGGGCTGTACGTCGGATTGTACATCGGATACATCGGCGGCCTCGGGGGTGGTGCGTAGTTTACTTGAGGATGCATGCACCGAGGAAGCCAGGGATAGTACATACAAAGGTACGGTTGACGATCATTCTCCGTCTCGCGGAGCGCATCCTTTCCCAGACCGTCACGTGCGGTCTCCGCAGCACTTAACTTCTGTCCACGTAGCTGCATGGCCACTAGGCTGCACGATGAGTCAATTGAGTCTGAGTCCATGCATTCGTCCTCCAAGAACGCATCATCCAGCGCCACTGCAGCCAGCATATGGCAGACAATTCTCAGCAACATAGCTTGACGAAAGCGCTTTTGTCACAAGAAAGCTTGAGCCATGGAACTTTAGCAGAGAGGTGTGGCCCGTGCGTTTGTTGAGGTGAAGACCAACTGCAGGCCTTGCGACTGTCTCCGACTCTACGTCTCCAACTCCTTCATCGATCTCAATCTTCTTCGGGTTCTGAAAAACTTCAAAAAGCGGACGAACGGACGAACCTGCACCGCACGAGCTCCAGCAGGTTTTGTCACTTTCTTTCTTTACTTCTACATTACTGTCGGTAGTTATTCCTTTCTTTCTGTGATTGTTTAGTTCTTTCATTAATTGGCTATGTTTTTCTTTCTTTCTGTACTACGTACGGCAAGCATCTCCCAACAGCTTTACAGATTGTTCTTCATCAAAGATTATTGATTAGCTACGTCTTGCGTTCGTTCTTTCGTCTCTCCTTCATTTATCTATGTAGTTATTTTTCTTGCTGTATGTATTTATTTCGTTGTTGTGTTCGTTCGTTGGTTCGTTCTGTCCATCTGTATTTCTCTGTATTTATTCTGTCTACGTTTATGTATTTCGTCTGTTGTTCCTCTAATTATTTCATTGATTCCTTATTTCTCAATTTCTTTCGTTAGTTCCTGCGTTCATTTCTTTCTGTCGCAATTTATCTGTGTAGTTCGTTCGTGCTCTATTGCATTATTTCCTTACGTTGTCATTATTTCGTTCGTTCCCTTCCTTCCTTCTTTCATTCGTTGCTATCATGTTCGTTCTTTGTTTGCTTCGTTCTTCGTGTCTTTCTTTCTGTATTGGTTTCAGTCTTTATGTCGTTATTTCGTTCGTTATTGCTTTATTTCTTGCTTGTCTTCCTTTCGTTATTTCTGTCTGTGTCTCGTTATTTCTTTGGTTCTTTCTGTCTTTCTTCATTTACGTATTTCTGTCTTTCGCTCTTTCTTTCCGTCATTCCTTCTGGCTTTTTTCTGGTAAGCTTGGAGAAAACTCCACTTATTCGTCTTTTCTCAGCTTTGAAGCGAGAGGTGGTGCCGCGGCCTCGACCGTCGGCAAATCGCTCGGCGCAGAGTGCCAGCTGTGCAGGCGACAGCCCCTGGAGAGAGGCGCTGAGCAGCGGGCGGGCCTTGACGAGACAAGCACGAAAGGTGCCAGCTGAACAACGGTATAAATTCTGAGCTGCCCGCATTCTCCAAGAGCTCCACGTCCACCGGCCTGGCTTTGCTCGAGCTCCAACTGCAATGTTTGAGATCTCTCTGCCAATTTGGGGCTTCTGCTTTGCAGATTCATCTTCTGGAGCTGGCGGTCCTCTGCATTTGATGCCTATGCCTAGCTCCTTTTTTTCATCTGTCTCCGCTCCTGACGATGGAGATGAAGGCGAGCGCATGCTGTTTGCAACTGTCATAGAGCAAAAGCCATTACAGAAAATGATCAATTCGCAGATCACGACGACACGGATGTGAAACCCGTTGCCTGCCCGCTGCAACGAATCCAGCCCTTCAAGAGCCTGGCTGCCACAAATGACTGCTTGCTTCCCTTGCATTGCAGGAAAGCCATCCTTACAGAGCCTATGTGGTGCCTGCGCGACCCGCGCGCCACGCTGGTTCCTTCGGAAGCAATCGTCTGGATTCCACGGGGCCTGGGTTTGAGCGGGAGGAAACGGTCAAATAAAGCAGTGCAGGCACTTTCGGCTTCGGGCGAAATACGGCACCTCAAGTTGCGGAGCTTCTACAGATTCAGCCGTGCGGAAGCACAAAGGTGGACCCCGCATTCTCAAAAACTGCCTTGGCTGTCCGGCCTCGGGCAGCCCGCTGGACGTGGAGTCCAGCTTGCGTGTTACAGCATTGTACCACCACCTCCTTCGATTCGATGTTTTTAATGCTTCAGATTATCTGCAAAACCGAATCCGTCCAAATCCATGTGGGGCTGTGGGAAAGTCCTCCGTCTTTTCGGCCCTGCATGGTTCTCATCATCTTGCATGCCCTGGAGCAGCTTCAACAGCAAGAACACCAATGCTTTGATAGGCAAAAGCATGCTAAAGCAAACAAGGTTGCATTCCTAAGCATGCAGTGACACGAGCACGTGGGAACGAAGGATAACAGGCGGGTGGAGATTGTGTTTTTCTTTTTGGTTTTTTCTTTTTGTCTTCCGCTGAGTGGGTGGGGTTGGATTGGGCTGGGCGGGGCGGAGCAGGGTGGGGTGGGGTGGGGTTGGAGGCCCACGTCTTTACGTGCAAGTGGGCGTCGAAGCAAAAAACAAGGGCAAAACCGAACGAGTTTTAGCCTACGCAACATACTGTATTAGACGAGAACTATCATATAAACATGGTACTATTCTATATTATATTGATATTAACTCAGTGTGATATGTATATTGAATTTATACAAACTTTAAAACAACAGTAAACTCCAGTTTTGTTAATACGACAAAATATGTTAAAACCAGCGTAAGGCCCGAGCTGCAGCCGTCTGTGATGTCCAAGCCACACGTGCTTGAGGAGATTAAGCAAATCTGCTTGGTTACGCAGAAGCTGAAGCACCGTGCTAGGGTTTGACGTAGTCGAAGCACGTCTTGTAGTCTAGGGCCAAGGAGTAGCAGTGCGCGACGGCGGGGACCCCAAGAAAGACCTCCAATCGTGGTGCTCGTGGTGCCTGCAACCTCACCCCTCAACGGGCCGCAGCCCTCACTTGCCACCCCCTCGGCCTCCCGCCTTGCCTCTCCCCTTTCCCTTGTCCTTGCCCTTGTTCTTGCCCTTTCCCTTGCCTCTCCCCTTGGCCTGTCCCTGGCCATCTGCACTCCCTGCTGCCCCAGCCTCCAGCTTCATGGCAGCACGCCTGCGCTTCTCACCCCTGGTCTTGGCCCGCCAGCAGAGTACCTGTCCGCCCCCCTTTGCCCTGTTAGCCTCCGTGAGGGCTTTGTTCAAGACCATGGAAACATGGCGTTCCACCACTCTATCGGCCGTGGCACCGAGGCGGAGACAAGGGTGAACGTCTTCGCCTTCCTGCTTTCCGCGGCCTACTCCGGCTCCACCCTGACTAAGCACCGTAGCTCATCATGCAGCGCCCATAGCCCGTCGTGGACATCCCTAGCCTTGAGTCCATGGATCATCTCTTCTCGGCCCGGTTGGCTCGACGGTAAGGGCCACGCCACCCCCAGAGCCTTAGCCACTTCCTCCAGCCACACTTCTAGTCTAGGGCCAACTCCACTCAGCTCTGAGTGAGGCCGTGCAGCATGGAGGCCACCGCAGTAGTGACTGACCGCCCTGACAGGGCCTCCTTGTTGTTGTGTTGCCGCACCAAAATGGCGCCAGGATGCCACGCCTGTAGACAATAACACCCACCAAAACATGTCCTTAGATGCCGACACCTCCCCTCGGGAGGCATCGTAGCCGGGCAGCCTTCCGCGTCTGACTAAGGTGTTCCAGAACCTCAGCGTTTTGAGCCTCAGTCAGGGACGGGTGGGGCCAACCCAAACGGGCTTGCAAACTGTCAATCGGCTGTACCTGAGAACGGCGGAGCCCTGGACAAATCCAAGCAAGGTGGTGCCAGCTTGGCACCGCTTCGCTGGTGCAAACAGGGCAACCATACGAAACGAAGCTTTGGACGGCACGCCTGTAAAAAGCGTCGCCAAGAGCCGCACCAGTCAAGACGGCCCTAGAAACCTGCAGCTTTCTCAAAAGCGGCCCTGGCCAACTTCAGCCTCGCTGAGTTGTAAGGCACCTGCGCCAACAGTCTGCTGTCACGGCGGTCGGCGGTCCTACATGACGTCACGTCCAAGACTCCCAAAGCGTGCTGCCACTTCCAAGGCCCTTCTAAGCGCAAACCCCAACGAGTCAGCGCACTGCTCACAGTAGAGGCCCAGGCGTTCAAAGGCTGCGACCAGGTGAGGCCCGCACGAGCAGCAGTGCCAAGCTCGGCGACAGCTTGAGCCACAGCTCGAAACTGAGGACACTTGGCGTGCCCGTCCAGAATCACCCGGCGGTAGAGCTGAAAGAAAGCACTGCACTGACGGTCCTGAAAAGGAAACCACCACCAGCCAAAACTAACCTTGGGGATAATGCGCGTGGCGAAAAGCTTACGCCGCACATCAATTCCTACACTCCCTCGCGCAAGGTGAGCAGCAAGCACCTTGAAAGCCCGAAGCCGCTTGTGCGACGTGTCCCCCGCACTGCCCTGTCCCAAAGCAACAAAATCAACGCCGAAAACACGAAGCTGAGCCCTGATTTGGTCCTGCCCAAACCCTGCCCGCAGGAGCGCGTAGCGATGATTTATGGTTTGAGCCAAAGCAACACACTCGGATTGGTTTTCACGCAGCCCAAGGTGACCTGACCACCATCCCCATCTGCGCCAGCCCGCAAGGAGCCGTGGAACTGTAGGAGCAACCAAGACTCTGTCGTCAAAAAACAGCCCCTGAGCCCTGCCTCGGCCGAAAGGAGGGCAGACAGCTGTCGAGACTGTGAAGAGAAGGAGTAGGTGGAGCACTGCTAACCTTCACCTGTTTAGCCTTTCTTGTGTATGCGCTGCTTTGAGGGCTTTCAGCGAGCTAAGCTTTCGGAACCTCCTGGTTGGAAGGAGGAGACAGCCACTCGAAATGTTCATTTTGCAGTACAACACTATGGGTGCCGTTTTTCGGGCTAACTTTGCATACCCAGACGAGAACTGAGCAGCAATGCACACCCGCAGCCAGACCTGCTGATGGTGGTACCAAACGACCAAAGGGACGCCGTGCCGGCGAGCCATGGCTTGCAGGATTATGCCGTCCGCCCAAGCCCTCGGATCAGACATGGTGCCCAGCCACTCATTGTAATCCTTAAGCGTATCAGGCGGCTAGGCCCGCCCGTCGAGCCTCCGGAGTGACAGGTCCGAAGGTTCCATATTTTGTATTGTTAACAAAACTGGAACGTCCTATTTGTTTAAAGCTTGTACAATCTCAATATACATATCATATCATATACAACAAGTAAAATTGGAACATAGAACAGTACAACTTTGATATGGTTGATCTCGTCCAATATTACCTAAGTCATGTCAATACGGTATGTTGCATAGGCTACAGCTCGTTCGGTTTTCCACCTGTAATTCTGTTGCTTCGAAGCCCACTTGTACGCAAAGACTTGGGACTCCAGCCCTTCCCCGCCTCGAGCTGTTCTTGCCGTCGATGCTGTTGAACAGTTGTTGAACATGCTACTGCTACTGTGCATACAGACCAAGACCAAGCTTGTCACATAGTCCTGAACAGTCCATCGCTGTTACCTGGGGCTGCGGGGGGCTCGGGGGGGTGGTCTATCCGCCCACCCCTGCCGGACCAACACCACAACAACAACAACAACAACAACAACAACAGCAACAGCAACAGCAACAACAGCAACAGCAACAACAACAGCAGCAGCAGCAGCAGCAGCAGCAACAACA